TTTCGTTAATTCTTAGTTAATTATGTAACCATGACGACATTGATTAGAGATAGAGACATTATTTGCATGCCAGAAATATAATCCGTGATATATATATATATATACCTAAATTGACAGATTTAGAGTCAGTGTGTGTGTGTGTGATGTGATGTGAGTGAGACAGTGAGGGATTGAGACTCGAGAGCCAAACTGGGCGTGTGATTGCGAATATACTTTTTAATAAAACTACAAAAAGCTTGTGATTTGTGAATAGTGTTGCGACTACATACTTTATTTCCGACAATGCGCATCACCATCTGGCTCAAATACTTCCTTGTTGCGTTGTACTACCTCTTGAACATCTGGCTCATAAAACTTAGATATGTATGTCTGGTCTTCGCCAAAGAGTTCCTGCTCATTACGCCAGGTAAAATACAGCATGACTGCATGAGAAGGTGGTGAAAATATTTTTCAGGCTCTTTTCTTTTGTTTGGAGTGTGATATCGAATGACAGCTTTAATTTTTCTGCATTTCATAATTTTTTTGCTGTTTACAAGTTTTATTCTATCAGGAAGTTCAGGGTTATGATTTTCGATATTTTGAGATTCGATGAAGTCATCGCTTAACACTTCAGGTTGAGAATCAGATACTTCGTTAAAATCACTTTTGTAATCGTTGAAATAGTGAGCAGCAAATAAAGCTAAACACATATCATTAACGAGAGGAATGTTTTTCGGTCTATCACTGTAACGGACAATAATGTTAGATTTAAATATGTCAGTACTATCATCATCTAACTCATCAAGTTCTTGTTGTTTCTTGGCAAATCTAACGCGATTTTCAGCAAATTCCGTGCTAACAAAGAGAGTTTTCGGGAATATGTTTCTTAACCAGAGTTCAGGCATGCACCTGTAAACGCATTCTTGGGCACTGACTTCACGAGTCGAGAGAAAAGCTGCACCTATTTTTCTTAAGCCATCTCTTACATTTAAGTTGGCTTCTTTAGCCTCTTTTGCTGCATTCATGATGGCTTGAGAACATTCAGTTTCATTTTTTGTAAAGTAAAGAACAAACGTATGTGATACACTTGTAATGATTAAACACTGGTTGCAAGTCAAGATTTGCGGCAAATCCTTTTAACCCAGCAATAAAATAATTGTTGATAAAACAACTATCTATTGGTCTTCTGAGGTGCAATTCATAGTCAGAGTCTGGAGATAATGATATAGTCCATTGATAGTCTTGCTCTGTAATATCTATATCATTTAGGACGTCGGTTGGAGTTGCATGCATGTGGATCATAAGTAGGTTTGCTTGGGTTTAGCACATCATCAATTTTTTGTTTAACTTTAGACAAAATTTCCTTTTGTCTAGTTAGAATATTGGATTTAATCTCTTCATCCATATCTTCTGCCAAAGGTTCAGCAACAATTGTTTTGTCAGTTAAAAACTGTCCAAAGTTAAATCTACTGTACATGCAACGTTCTTATACTTTCTACAGGTTTTACTGTGATTATGTGTCTGGTATGTTTTCACCAAGTCATAAAGTTGAGGATCTGTTTCTTTGTCTGGGAGGTATGCTTGAACATGTTGGTCAATGTAATCTATGTATGCATCTTTTGTATCATTTGTTAAGTCTGGGCAATCAGATGTCCATATTAAGGCATGCAAATATGCTGAACCTCTCACTTGAAATTCAATACGGAGTGCATAATATACTATCTTACCGACTGGGTTTGCATTTGTAAGCAAAACATCCCTGAGAAATGTTTCGACTCGATACTGGAAATGTTTAGCTACAATAACTGGATTTAAATTTAACATTGAGCATCGCTCATGATACGACAGAACGTCCACTTCTTCATCTGTCATGTTGTTTCCTTTCGTTTTTGCAATTATCTGAAATAGCTCTGGCCATCTTAAGTCTGCGCATGAAAGTGTCGTAAACCATGTTGGTATTCCCAGTTGTTTAACCATCGCTACCACTTCATACATGAATTTTTGCCAGTAAGAAGGTGAGCCAGGAATTTGTCGTAAAAATAAATATGCTTGGTCTTGCAAAAGAAGATTTTGAAAAGCTTGACTGTTCGATTTACTTGTGATGCTGTGACTGACTGCCCATGTATTTTTTTAAGAGCTATATTTACACTATCACAGATCTTTTTCTGTTCCATAATGAATTGTGCAAAGAATAGATACTCTGGATTGGTTGCAAATTTCCCACTATAATGCAAGAGGCGAGCATTGAAATATTTCATTGGAGATAATTTTATGTCTCGTTCAACAGTATAACCAAATCGTCCCTTTGGAAATAGTACTGGAAATGAAAGTTCCTCACAAAGTTTATCAGTCATCAATGATACTGGGTGTTTACCTTCACCTGGTGCAATGTTGAAAATTTCTCTATCTGTTGAATTATCACAGTTTCTATTGTCCTACCCTGGTTGCCAAAGGTTCTGTATCTTTCGCCTTATTCTCGCTCGTATTTATTTTACGCGAGGCGAAGAGAACCTCTGGTGGCACGCGATACAATCTCTCTTCCATGCTGACGTTGCCGTTTGAGAACTTGCAAAACCGGTTTTATATTTTGTGACGTTTTTAAACTTCCGGGTTTGTCATACTACCAAAATAGCTCTCTTCAGACCGTTTGCAGTGTTTGGCAGCCTTGTGTAAAATATTAAAAATAAGCAGCCCAAACATGTAGATTATTCATTAGAAGCATGTAGATTGTTCTCGCAACGCACAAAGCAAAAAGCAACATTACGAACTGTTAATTTGTGGAATGCCGTTTGTATTAGCGAATGTATAAAGTCAAAAGTGCAAGAATATAAATATATAAATATATAGTATGTATGAGCCAGTATGGTTGCCCTTAACAGACAACGGAAAAATATTGGCAAAATAAATCGTATTAATAACTATTAAGGTCAAAGAATTATCAAAATTTAAAACCTTGAACGTTGAACGATATAAAGCCTCTGATATAAAGCAAGTGACTAACACTTTAATATATTTTGCAAATATTAATACTGTAATAGAGTGAACATGTCATGCCGTCAGTTCAAGTCATGACGCGATGGCAGCTCTTCTCCAGCGCAGAAAATCTTTTTATAGCGGAACAAACTAAGTCTAAGTTACTCTCAAATAACCCACACTAAGTAAATCATTTTAATACGTTCGTATTATTTCTGTATTTTGTTTACATCATGTTCTCTGAGATTTATAAACAGGTTTTTTTGTCTAGCCAATCACATCACTTCATGTGACTGCTAATTATAACTAACCAATCATGTGCTTGGTACAA